CTTCAATTCTGAGTCGCACTATCAGTTCCTCCAATTTCATTTCCTTGCACTTATACTTACGATAATTCTTGAATTCTTTCTAGGATAGTGGCAATTTTTCAATGATTGCTACTACTTGGAAAGATCCACTGAGAACCATCCCTTCCGCATGTATGTCATGGAGAATTAATTGGAAATCTTGAACCTGGCTAATAACCATCTTGGAATCTATCATTTTAAAATCCAAAAAACAGCAGGCAACAAATTTCTTTGTATCGACATCCTCTGTCTTATATTTATGATCTAGAGATTCCCACAGTTCTTTTGCAGTACTTTTGACACTATATACATTGTACAGTGTATTGTCCAACCCATTGAGGATATAATTCCGACACAGAAAATCACCATGTTTCTATACATCGACTGCGGCAACCACTTTGCGATCAGTTTCTCCCTCGTTCAGTGCCGGAGCTTTTTCATGAGTGAAGCAAGCCAAATTTAATGTCTTAAAGATAAAACATCATCTTTTGTTGCTATCTTTTAAAATCATTTCCATTAAATTTTTCTAGCTTTTCCTCACGATTTACTGATACTGCTGGAGTCATCACTGACACAACGGGAGTAGGGGTCGGAGTAATAACAATCTTAGTACTGTTTGTTTCAGTAATCATATTTCTGACGAAATAATAATGCACTAATCACAAATTTATACATGATAGAATTTACACACAAAAAATACATAATAATATTTTGAAACCAAATTCCAATGATAAACAGTATATAACTACTACGTTATCAAAGAAATTATTAAACAATATATTACTACTATTTAAGAAATTAAACAGTATATGACTCCTATTTAATTCCTCGAAACAAAATATTTGTCTATCTAACACACAAATTATAAAATAAAATAAAAAAAAGAATTTACTTTAAGATTGTTATTCCCACAGTGGATGTGTGTATGTGTAAATAAATGTATAAATAGAATAAATAACAAAACAAAAAATAATTAATTTAGAAACTAATTATATAAATTAAACTTCAAATCAATTGCGTATAGAAATTATAAGTCGATGCTTGTGTTAGACACAATCTCTTTAAAGTAGATTTCGCCGTCACTCAGGTGCTTCGAGATTTACCGGCGTCTACTTCCTAGGATGCAACAACTAACACTTGATTTGCAGCACTTCAAAATCAAGTCTGGCGAACCAAAACTCTGTTGTGACTCTTTCTTTTTTTTCATAAAATAAAACGTAGAACAAATATAGAAATAGGAGGACAAAAAGAGGAAAAAGAAGGAAGGAAAATCGATCATTGGACATTGCTAGAAGGCAAGCTGTTTAAAGGAAACCTGGTGGCTTTTCAGAACATATACCAACAGGAAAAAACCTGTTCGCAACAGGAACAGATCTGTTTTGGTGGAATTAAATATATTCAAATGTTTTTGGCCCAAAAAGATAAGTATTGGGCCGGACAAGCCTAACCCAACCTTACATTCGCGCCAAAGCCCAGCTCGCCCGACCGGCCGGATGGACGGCGGCGCGCGTGTGATTTTTGTTTTAAGTCCAATGGGTCTGACCTACTTTACCCATAACTTCACCATTCCACAAACTTGGACACTCTTGGGGCCCATCCCAAGTATCCCAAGCTTGAGTTTATATACCCATATAAATTCTTAAGCCTTTCCAATGTGGGACAATCATATTTCAAAAATGTGTGGGAAACCCACCTAAAGCCATATTCATGAACCCGAAAATGCGCGTTGAATTCTCATTCATCCGGAAATGGTTTTGAGCAATCAAATACACGATATTATTCACTATGCGGCATTAAACATGTAACATTGAAAATAACGCTTGGGTCCGACCTTAATTAATTCTCAAAGTTAGCAAAAAAATAAGGTCTTTCCAAAGCATCAAAGCCATTTTCGAACAATTTTCTTACTTTAATCCTTAAAGTTTATTTTTTTCCACTTTAGTAGTCTATGTTTTAAGTTTTTCCCATTTTACTTATAAAGTTAATTTCTATTAAAAATTAGACAAAAAATGACACATTGATACTCACGTGGTATAAAAATATTTTTTTATATATGACTCAAACATCTGACATAAACTTAAACTCTAATATAATAATATATTTGTTATGTTTGAAGAAAAATTAGCTTAAGAGTAAATTGAAAAAAACTTAAAATATGAACAATCAAAGTGAGAAACAATAAACCCTAAGAGTCAAGGTGAGAAAGTGACCAAATATAAAATGGGCAAAATATAATTTGCCATTTCTGACATAAACTTAAACTCTAATATAATAATATATTTGTTATGTTTGAAGAAAAATTAGCTTAAGAGTAAATTGAAAAAAACTTAAAATATGAACAATCAAAGTGAGAAACAATAAACCCTATGCTGTGTTTGGTTGGGGGATTTGGAGAGGGATTTGGAAAGGGAAATGGAAAAGGTAGGTGAAATGTGAATAAATCGTGCTTATATTTCACATAGTTTCACACACCTTTTCCCTTTCCCTTTCCAAATCCCTCCCCAAATCCTCCAACCAAACACACTATAAGAGTCAAGGTGAGAAAGTGACCAAATATAAAATGGGCAAAATATAATTTGCCATTAACCCGAAATATATCAAACAACAACAATGATTGAGACTTCCTTTTTTTGGGACCCCCATAACCCCTTTGAATCTCAACCATTGATGGTGTGGGCCTCACACATACATCAATTGTTGGGATCCAAATGGAGTTATGAGAATTCCCAAAAAAAGAGTCCCAAGCATTTTTCATCAAACAAATAGAGGATGCCTTACAATCTGTTTGTATTTTCTTACCCTCATGTTTGTTAGCTATAAGCTGGGGAGAAAAGAAAAAAATAATAATAATATAGTGATTTCTCAGCTATTTTACTTGAATAGACTACATAAGAAAAAAAAACAAGAAAAGAAAAGAAAAAAAACTATTACAAGTTATATTATCAAAATAACGTTTTAATGTTTTAATTTTAGTAAAAGTTCTCAATCTTGCAAATTTCTCTTCATTTATTTCCATTTCCTTCTATTTATATATGTTCTTTATTAATTCAAACAGGTGATTATGACAAAGGAAAAAAGAGGCCCAAGCAAAATCATTTTCTTATTTCTGCTCTCCAAATCACTAACCTGATCTCTAATGATCCACCACAACACTTTGTACTAAAAAATTTCTGTACTTTTTTCAAGATGGGACCTCAAGTAACAATGTATGGAAAAAAAAAAAAAAATTTGCATAATTGTGACAAAATAGTTAAATTATAAAATTTTAAGTACTATACTATGCCCAAATACGAGTTTAACATTACTAAAATGACAACCATTGAAAATGCTATCAACTACAATTAGCTATATTGTTAACAATTTTTGCTTATGCATTATTAACCAACTCACTTATACCTATATATTTCTGTAATTATTTTCAATTAATTCTCAATGATTTGCAATTCCTACTAATACAAGTCTCAATTTTATTTATTTATTTATTTATTTATTATTATTATTTGGAATAATCAGGTAAATTTTGATCATTTCTATTACATGTTTATAATGAAATTTTTTTATTACATATTTGATAATTATAAAATGAGAATGTAAATTTATAATTATCTTAAATTTAAAAAAAAAAAAAAATCACTACACTTGCATGTAATGGGAAATATCACATTCCAATGGGCCAGCAGCTTTGCTCCGATTTCCTTTCACAAAACTGAAGAATGCACAGAAACCCAATTCAACAACCAACTCTTCACTTATTTTATTTTATTTTTAGTACATTGGAAATGAAAGAAAAAAACAAACAAAGAAAAACAACTCTTGACCTTTACTTAGCCATATAAATTATAAGTAACCATGGAGAATAGGACTTGTTATAAGGGACAAAATTCTAGCTCTTCCCCCAAAGTTACAACAACAAAGTCAAACATTTTCATCAAGAATGCTTAAGAAAAAAAGAAAAAAAGACTTAGGGGCTTGGAGCCGACCCACGTAAAGGCCCTGTTTGGAAAATGGGTTTAGGATATTTTTATGTTAAAATTTATAATAAAATAAAATAAGTTAAGATAATTAATAAGATAAAATATCATATCAAATTTATAATCATTTCACTTATTCTCTCATAAATATCACATTCAACTATAAAAAAATCTAACTATTTTTTCAAACACAAAAATTTTAGAATTAATTACATAAGTCTTATTTACAAATGTTATAGTAACTCAAGTCCTATTTAAAAAATTTTGAACCAATAAGTCTTATTTAGTAAAATTGAGAATATTATCAGTTTTTTTTTTAATTTTTAAAATTAATAACATTATCAATTTTGCATAATACTGTTCCAGATAATTGTTTCACTAACTAATAAAAAAAAACAAAGTATGAGATTAAATATTTTTGCCCTTTTATTTATTGATTTGATTCATCAATTTAATAAAATCTTGAATATTAACAAAATAAAATTTTCAGTTTTAAAGCTTAAAACATTATCAATTTTTTCATTTTTAAAGTTTTTTCTTTTTAGTTTTATACATTAATGTTCCATCATCATACTCCTTTATAAACATACAATTTTCAATTTTACACAAAAAAATAATTCATTTTTTTTAATATTTTCAAAAAAAAACCATTAATTTATTTTTACACATAATTTTGTTTTTAATTTTTTCAATTTGAAAGTTGATATTTTAAAATGTTAAAAATCAAAATAAATATCAAATTATCATGTTTCTTTACGAATAATTATAAATGATGAACAATCATTATTTAAAGAACAATTTTGACTATTAAAATTTTAATAACACTTGAAAGTCCAAAAAATTTTAATTAAGATTTAATGAAATATAAATTCATAAATTAAGATTTATGTATAAATATCTCAAAATTTTAATTTATTAAAATAATTAAAAATTAAAATAACTTGCTAAAATAGTTAGCTTGTCAAAAGGAGGCCCAAAAAAAAAATTAGAAACATATAAAAAACCCACATAGAGATAGCCGAAAGCAAGCTCCAAACTGAAAGAGACAAATAACCCCACAACAAGCTTCAACAAAAACAACTCCCATCAATTTCCCTGCAATCTCTACCTTTTCTCCGATCAATTGACGCCGTGCCGTGATGGGCAAGTCAACTCTCTCTCTCTCTCTATGTATTATAGTTACTACATACAGTGGACTTTCTATGTTTTGTTTGCCTGAGATAAATTGAGAGTTATAACTAGAAATAGTGAAAGCGATGGTAGTCTAGGAATGAGATTGGACCACTTGTTTCTTGCTGCTACCATGATGATGATTCCTATTACTACTATTATTATTAGTACTACTACTACAAGGGACCTCATTAACATTGCCTTCTTTTCTGGTGCTGGACTGGCTTGTCTTTGGCTTCCTTGGTATGCATTTTGCTTTCACTCCCTCCATCTCTTTCACCTCCAACTCTGTGGTCCTATACAATTAAAAATAATAATAATATTAATCAGTTAAATATTTAAAACATTGTTATATGGATAAACTATTTTGAAAAGAAAAAGTATGTTTATTAATAGGGTATTAATTAAATATTAAATACTTAGGAGGCAGTAAAATATCAACTCATCTTTTTAGGATGATGATATATTCAACTCCTTATTAAACTTAATTAATGTGGACCCCCAAAAGAAAAGCTAGTTAGGTAATATTAAAAAATAGAAGGAAAAAAAATCAAGAAATTTATCTCGAAAGAATGATATTTGCTCTGAATTCAATTTTTGTAGTGTGTTTCACATTTGAAATGAATTTTAACTACATAATGTTATTTTCGAACCTCTAATGTTGTTGCAAGAATAAAGTATAATGTGTAGATTTAAATTTAATAGAAGGTGAGTTACATCCAAAATAAATTCACAATTAATCTGGAAGGCAAATGGAACATAAGCCAAAGTTTCTGAATAGTTGGGCAACAAAGTTAATGTGATGATTGATAACTTGGCGCAGCAAATTGATGGAGACCATTTACCAAAAAAGTGTTCTGGGTTGGTTGATAACAGGGATGTGAAGAGGGAAAGTTTGGGCATCGAAGCAAGCTGTTCTTTTCAATTCTTTTTTGTTTAAAATGGTGCAATGCTTTGATTTCAAATCTGAAATTAGGACAAACAGGGCTACAGGAAAGTGTCATGTTAAGGAATCTGAGATTGAAGGCTCTGTTTTTTTTTGTGAAATTACACATACAAAGAGAATGCACTTCATTTATCAAAAACTAAAGCAAGAATGGTTTCAAAAACAAATCTTAACCTTGCAACATTGTTTCTGATATTGGTAATATAAGCAAACTACAACTACTTTAAAAACTTGTGAAAAATTAGCAAAAGTGTGTGCACAATGGAGTTTGTTTTTATTAATTTGGGTCATTGTGTCATTAATGGTTCAAACTAACTATAATCGGCCAACTAAGCAAAAGTGGACTCGGTTCGGATCCCCATTTGACTGTGACTCACTTTAGTCCAGTTGAGTTGGCCGACCATAGCGGGTATTCATTTGAGGCTAATTGGGATGTTTTAAAAGAGTTAATTTTTTAATTACATAAATTAAAAAAATCAAAAAAATTATTTGTCATTAGCTATAAAAGTAAAAATACTAAAATATTAAAATTTTCAATTGCAATTGCAATTTTTTTTTTTTAATTTTATAAAAGGGTACACATTTTTCAAAATGAATGTAGTTCGGTCACACTGTATTTTTGACACTTAAACAAATTATTTTTGCTATAGGTAGCATTAGTTTTCTCAACCAAACCTCTCATGCATCTAACCTCGTAGTTTTAGGTCAAGTTTGGCTATCCAAAATAAGGATACATTTTTTATTTTTTTATCTTTTTTTCATCACATCATCTCTCTATTTTTTTGCACATCTTTTCGTAAAAAGACAAAAAGTACGCTCTACTTTTTATTTATTTATTTTAAATATTATTAAGCTCAGTGAATTCGATCTAATAACTCAATTGAGAAAACAAAATATGAGTAGTTCAATTTGTCTAGCTCTTAGCTAAAGAAAACAATCATAAAATCAAGCAACAAACAAAAAGGATCAAACAGTAGAGCATGGATGATAGAGAATCAAACAAAAAGTAATCCATGTGAATCTGAGTATGCATGTCAGAAAAACATGAAAATAATGAAACAAACAGTTAGTGACACTGAGTTTCGAAAGAAAAAAACAAAAAAGAGAACCGAAAAAAGAATTCACTCACTTACCTATCTGCATTGTAAGATGAACACCTCTTCAGTGCTGGAAATTCCTCCTTCTTTGTCTCTATCAAGCTCCCACTGAAGTACTCTTTTTCTTCCACCATCTTAACTCTTCCTACAAAACTAGGGTTTTCCACAATAGCTTCCTCTGCGTCCTTCCCCACCTGATTTGCAACCCCGCCGCCACGTGGCAACCTCGCCTTGTAATGCGAAATCAAAGAGAACCCCCGATGGTGATCCGTGTCCTTCCCTTGTGTTGTGGGTCCACAGTCCTTGAACGAGATCGAACCGCAGGTGATCAACTGCATCAGAACCGACGCCGCCTTGAGCCGTCCACTTGGGTGATTATCAGCCGTCCGATCTTCGTTGACTATTTCAGGACACAGGACGACTCGACCGTCAGCCTTCATCAGGGAGTCTAGGGTTTCAGGGCTCGAATCGGACGGCGGGGGAGAGATCTCCTCTCTGCTCAGCTCTGTGCTCTGATTCTCATTCTCACACGATTCTTTGCTCTTCTCTTCTTCTTCTTCTTCTTCGATTTCTCTGATTGCTCGACGACGGCGTCGCTTGTCGTCTGTCTGAGTGGACGCGTCGGCGGCGGCTCTTCCGGCGGACTCGCCGGTGCACTCGGCCTTATAGACTTTGTACTCGTGGAGGTCGATTGAGCTCCAGGATTGGTTCCTCCGCCGCGTCACCACCACAGGGAAATCGCACTCGTCGCCGGATTTCTGATTCTCCGGCGGCGGTTTCTTGAAACTAGAAGACAACGAATGGTCGGATTTGCAGATTGAAGCGCTGTCCAGAAGCTCTGATCCTTTGAGAACATACTCTTGTCCGTGCGCTGGGTAGATGAAATCGTTCTCGGCCAAATCGTGCCACACGAATCCATTCTTGTAGCTCCTGAATCAAACTTCAAATTCAGTATCTGTATGTATCTATGAAGTAGAAATCTAGAAGTAGAAGTGAAATGTACCGTTTGGAAGACCAGGAATACATGGTAGCCATGCCTTTACCACGAAGGAAGTTCAAGCGATTGATGACATCTGAGGAACAAAGAGGTTGAGAAAAGCCCAAATTACAATGACAATCAAATGTAAGCTAAACCTCGGTTTGGTAGCCGAGAAAATTTATGAAAATTTGCATGGGTTGAATTAAATTTTCTCAGCAGTCAAACAGAGGTTGGAAAATTGAACAACGAGTTTCTCACCTCTGAGATAGAGACCTTCAGGGGAGGAGAGAGGGACCTCCATGAAATGGGGGTGCTCGAGCTGGCCGTTGCGAGAGAGGTAGTAAACGACGGGGACTTTCCTCTCAGACCTGAGCTTGTTGGGAGGTTCGGTCCAGACTTTGGTGCGTTCGGGACTGGTTTCTCTGTCTTTCCATTTCTTGGAGATTTGGAGGTCTGTGGTGGTTCGTCCTCTAGAAGTGACCGCCATTGCTCTGCCAAAAAAAAAAAAATGAAGGGAATGTAAAAGCTTCTACGAAGAAATCAGAGGAAGGTTTAAAGTGGATGGGATAGACATGTAAGGAGTGTTTACCGAGGCGGGAGTAAAAGATTCAACTCATGTGCTTTGAATTTTTTTGATATTGGAAAGGTTTAGAGAGAGAAAGAGATGGGTCACGTTTATAAGGTGAGGCGGAGGTAGGGATTTGTTTTGGTCTGTCCAAAAAAAATATAAAAAAAAGGATTCACACATTCATAAAAAGTTAGGATCACTTTGAGGGTGTGAGGGCCATTTCAAAAAGAAAGGATTCAAACATTTTTAAAAGATTAAATTATTTATACATAAATAATTATATAATTAAATAACATATATATTATAATAGATGAATGAATGTTGAAAACATGTAGGCTTTGTATAGATGAAAATAATTTAATAGTATAAATTGATTTTAGATCAATTTAATTTTTTCATGAATAATTTACAATATTAAATTGAATCTAAACTAGTTCAATAAGACCATCTCTTACGGTGAATCAAAAATTTTATCATATTTGAGTAAAATTTTGTTGAAAATTTTGATTTGATACCGTTCACTCTAATGCTAAAATTATAGGGTATGTTTGGTTTGTGTTTGAGAGATGTGTTTTAGAGATAAAAAGTACGAAAACATGTTTGGTTTAGTTTTTTTTAAAAGATATTTTGGAAAATTATTTTGACAAACATTTTTAAAAGATTAAATTATTTATACATAAATAATTATATAATTAAATAACATATATATTATAATAGATGAATGAATGTTGAAAACATGTAGGCTTTGTATAGATGAAAATAATTTAATAGTACAAATTGATTTTAGATCAATTTAATTTTTTCATGAATAATTTACATTATTAAATTGAATCTAAACTAGTTCAATAAGACCATCTCTTACGGTGAATCAAAAATTTTATCATATTTCAGTAAAATTTTGTTGAAAAATTTGATTTGATACCGTTCACTCTAATGCTAAAATTATAATTTTTATCAAATTTTTTCACATTCTCGATTGTATGGGAGAACATCCGGACAGATATTTTGGAGATCGTTCGAATATGAACAAAAAAGGTATCAAAATTGCTATTGGTGGACATCCGAAAAGACATATGAGAGGATGTCCAGCCCAATGATAAATTTAAATTTGATGAAAAATAAAAGATTTCTTTCATTTGATGAAAATTTTATTTTTATTTTTATTTGATATGATTTTAATGAAAGGATTGAAACGCCTCGTTTGACGTTTTTTATCAAATTTTAAATTTGATGAAATATGTTAGGCTGAATTGCACTCTAATACAAGTCAATTTCATCTTTAAAATTAAGATTTTTAACTTTAATAAATTGGTACTCATTTTGGTGAGGGATTGAGGGGAGTTGGGTGTGAACTTGAGGGAGGGGCAGGTGTGAACAGATGGGGGGAGAGAGGGAGCAGGGATTCAAAATAGGATGCCGCAGACAACAGCTAGCAAACAAAATTAGAGTTGTTTTATTTTCTGTACATCTGGCACTCTAAATATTTATTGGTATTTATTTTATTTTATTTTTTCAAATATTTTTTAGTGAACATCTATCATATTATTGCTTGATTGCTAAAAAAATGTTTATAAGAATTTTAACTTGGGGTATTTTTTTTAAGGTCCCTGATATTATGATTTTATAGTATAAAGCCAGAGAAATTTGAATTTTCTCTAGGTTGGATGTATATATAAGAATCAGTTTGTGTGCACACTTTTAAAAAAATCAAAATAGAAAGCACACCGGGATTGAAAAACCTGAAAACACACTCAGATTTCTTCTTCCCACAGTAACGAGTAGCCATTGGATTAAACTAACCAAACTCTTTTTCTCTCTCTCTCTGAAACAGTGATAATAGCTGATTCTTGGTTGCTCCAATGGGTTGATGATTGAGTACTGAAACAGAAATTCAATGTAACAACAACACCACCAGTGTCCAATATCAACGCCTCTGGATCGCCGCTCCTCAGACGGCTCGGCGACGCCATTGAAGGTCGGATCCGGTGAAGGTGGAGTTCAATCGGTTGGAGAATGAAGTCAGAGCTGAGGACACAAGAGTTGATCTGGACAGGTATGAGAATGGAGAAGTTTAGAGAGAGAAAGTGAGAGATGAGTTTTGATTTGGTAAGGTCAAATTTCTCTGTGATATGTTTAGGGACCTTAGACATCAAAAAATAATTTTGTGGATCTCTCCCATTATGAAAAGTGGGAGAGGGACCCTAGACCAATTTTCCCTTTTAACTTTTATAGAATTTTTGCAAACATTTATTTTGTTTATCATTGTTTTTTTTATTATAACTAAACAAAAATCAACAAATTATCTCTTTTATAAAGACTGAAAAGAATTTTATATTTATGAGCAATGCTATAAAAATAATAAATAAATAAAATGATTTAGTATTTTTTCTAAATTATTTTTTAATGAAACTAAATGACTCATTTTTAAAAAGATGGACATATGTGACAAATGCACGTCAGTGCGACATTAATCATGAAATAAATTTAATATACACATTTTCTATCATATATATCCTTAAATTATATTTTTTTAATTATAATTAATTTTTTTTTTTAATTATAATATTATTTTAGTTATGATTTATAATATCTTTGGTTATGTCATATGTGTTGTTTGGTTATAATTTTTTTTTAATTATGACTCAAAAAGTATGAAATTATATCATTTTATTCTTTAATTATAAAATACATACAGTATACACCTTTTGAGGGGTGTGTCTTTAAACTTAAATCCCAATAAAAAGAAATATAATATTATTTTTTAGTTTATTATGTAAATGATATAAAAAATAAAATTAATATTTTATAAATGAAGGTAGGATGTTCTAAAAAATTTTATTTCAAATTCTACTAAAAAATTAAATCAACTCAAAATATCAACCTAAATTGATTCTATAAACTGTATCTTTATTTTAAATATTTAAAATATCAAATTAAATTAGACAAGTTGGCCGGGTCCTCAGTTTACGACAATTAAGACTATAAATTGAACTCATTTTATTAAGAACTAGTTGAGCTTAAAATATCAAACTCAAACTTGACCTAGTTATTTGAAAATTTTGAACTTGCTTTAACTCGAGACAAGCTTTAAAGAAAAAAATTGACTCTATTCGAGATCAACTCAATTACTTAAAAAAAAAAAAAAACTCAAAAGTTAAATTTATGTTTGTTACTTAAATAAATGAATCGAGTTTAAATTAAGAAAGCTCTAATATATATATGTACACATAAAAACTACGTTTACTAAAAAAATGTATAATTGAGATTTAATTAGTATATTATAAATTTCATATACAAAATGAATTTGAATTATATAATATTTTTAGAAAAAATTCTTAATAAAACGTTTTAATACATAAAAAAAAAATACTCTTAGACCTATTTTGAAAAGTTGAAATTTAAATAAAAAAATTTAAAAATTAATGAGGACTGCTAAGTTTCCCTACCTATTTACTTTGGACACCCATTCTTTGAACCCACACTCACATAATTGAAATCCCATCATAATCTCTTTAAACTCCCACTTTAATACCAAATACACCCATATTCTTTAGATCCAACTCTTCTTCTTCTTTTACCGCTGGTGGCGCTGCTCTCGTGAGCCACGCGCCCTCCCTCCCTTCTTCCCTCCTCTTTTCTTTTCTTTATTTGTCTTCTTCTTCTTCTTTCCCTTCTCTCACCTCTTCTCCTCCTTCTACCCCTCTCCTTAACCCCAAATCCAAGCCCAAACCCTAACCTTAACCTTAATCCCATCCCCACCAACTTGAGCAACAATCATCGGTGGCCAACCCACAGCCCCTCGCCCCCCCTTCTTTTCTCTTCTTCTTCTTCCCTCACTCCTACCACCGCCGATGACCCCCCTTCCTTCATTGGCGACCTCCCACAATCACCCTTTCTTCTTCTCCCAATCGACCTCCTTTAATCGTCCTTTCACCGTTACCCCTACTTGCCTTTCCCCATCTCAAACCAGATCTGGAAAAAAGAGAGAAAAAGAAAAGAGGGCTCAATCTCCTATTGGAAAAAATAGATTTTTGGTGACTTTAATTAAATACTAAAGTGGGTCTCAGCCATTTATTGTGTTGGGTCCAAGTGGGTCTAGATACTTTACAATAAGATCTTTACACCACAAAAAGAATAGCTAAAAACCATTGAGAATTGAATAAAAAATTGCCTCATGAAGTTAGCTTCATGAAAGAGGTAGTGGGATTAGTGTGTATAATACGTTTGTAACTCCTGCATTATTGCATAGGTTAATGGTGCATTAGTGACCAGTCATAAAGGCAAGTTAATGGTGCATTAGTGACCAGCCATAAAGGCTGGAGGCTCTTCCTCTCTCCCTTATACATGTATAAATTGAGACCCTCCTGTCTAGTCTCAACACAGAAATTTTTGCTTTCATTTTACAAGTTAGTTTGCCAGAAAGTTCCTATAGTGAGAGAGTGCTACCACGGTTTTTGTTCGCTAAGATAGACAAAAAGTGCTTTTACTGTAGCTAGTTTTTGGCCGTCATATCCTGGGAGACAGATGCCGGAATTCCTCAAACACGCGACTCGTGAGGGGACGAAAATCTGTTTTAAGGAAACTCTTACCGTGCGGGTTTTGGTTTGCTTTCTTTACCATTTTATTGTATTGTGTACATCTGTTATAATTTAGTTGTAATTCTCAGCATGCGTTCTTGGTATATAAGTTTGGAATTTGTTTGGTTTTTTGTAATAGAAACCAAAGTATTTAGCCTTGGCTAAAGAGTAGTTCTTATTTGTTCTAAATTTGTTTCTTATGGACTAGGAGTCAACATGCTCTTGAAAGTTTTGCCTAAGGTTAACTGGGTCTTAAGTGGGACCAGTGTGACCCCTCCAGTCTTCCTGGAAACTTTATTGACCATGTTCGATTCTAGGATAAGTGATGAGATCGATTTTGAATTAAATTTCAGACTTTAGGATTTTCTAGTATTAAGTTTAGTTTTTGAAAAACAGAATAGTAAAATTCTGTTGTGATTTTCTAGAAAATGGCTTCAAGAGGCAACAACAGAAATGTTGTTCCACCTGCCAACCTTAAAGCCTTGTAAGGTTCTTAAAGGAAGAC